CATAAAGCTATTCATTTGGGCTTGCTCTATTTTCCTAATCTGAGTATTAATTGTGATGAATTTTCCTCTTGAAACTTTCATAGTGTCCCTCAGTTTTATTAAGTTGTTCAGTCACTGTAAGAAGAAATATTTCATTCACTGTAAGAAGAAAAATTTCATTTCTGAAATTTTTACATTTTTTAAAATTTCTTCTGTCACCCATTAGTTTGTTAGGTTAGGTTAGGTTTCCAGGAGCTTTTGCCTTTTCTGAAATTTTTTCAGTCATTGATTTCTGTTTTCATTGTATAATGGTCTGTAGTATGCATGGGGTAATTTCAATTTTTTAATATTTACTTAAGCTAGTTTGCAGACTGGTATGTCACCTGTTTTGGAAAAGGTACCTTTTGCTGCTGAAAAGAATGTATACTCTGTTGTGAAGGGGAGGAACACCGTGTATATGTATCTATAAGTATATAGGTTCAAGGCTGTGGTTCAACTTTGATTTCTTTTTTTTTCTTTTTTTGAGACAGGGCCTCACTATGTAGTCCACACTGGCCTTCAGCTCACTTATGTAGCCCATGGTGATCCTCCTCTCTCAGTCTCCCCAGTGCCAGGATTACAAGTGTGCACCACCTTGTCCAGCCAGCTTTAGTTTAGTTATCTATGTCTTCATAGAAGTGGGGTAGTAAAATCTCTCACTATGATTGTGTTAGTGTTTATTTGATCTTTTAATTTCAGTAGTTTTTGTTGTATGAAGATAGGTACTCCAGTATTCAGTGCATATGTGTTTATCGATGTTATTTCTTCTTATTGGATTATTATTCAGAGTAGCTAAGGTTACAGGCATGCCTCATCACATCCAACTTTTGTCTTGTGACAGTTGAATACGATGTGTCTAGCTGTGAATCTCTTTTTGTTTATTACACCTGGAGTTCATTGAACCTTTTGGGTATATAGATTAATAAAAGTATTTCATCCAACTTGGGAAGTTTTCAGCCATTATTTCTTTAAAAAAAAATTTTTTTTTTGTCTTTTTCCTTTTTATCGGTACCGGGGATTGAACTCACGACTGCCTACTTGCAAGGCAGGCGCTTCTGCCGCTGAGCTAAATCCCCAGCCCCTTCTTCAAATATTTTTATTCCTTTTTCTCTTCTATTTCCAAAACTTCCATTATTTATGTTACTTTGCATGGTAGTATTTTATAGGTCCTATGGGCTTTGTTCATTTTTCTTCATTTTTTTTGTTTTCTTTTGTTCCTCAAATTGAGTATCTTCTAGTTCACTGACTTTTGTTCTGCCTTCTCCATTGTGTTCTTTTTTTTCTTTTATTTTAAAGAGGATAAAACCAAGGAAAATAAAACAGAATAAAACCAATAAAAAAAAAACAGTGTAAGTGATACAGGACTTCAAAACAATACAAAATCAACAATAGTTACCACAGTGCCTCTTGTCCTCAAAATAGCTGCAGATACTTTCAGGCATAGTAAAAATCAAACAAAACAGAACAGAATAGAACCAAGAAAAACCAAAACAATGAATGCAGTAAAGGACTTCAAAACAATGAAACTGACACAGGACTTCAAAAGAAGATAATAGGGAATTAACAATAGCTGCCACAAAAGAAGATAATAGGGAATTAACAATGGCTGCCACCTTCAGAAGGGGGAGCTATCCCACTAGATACCCCACTGCATACCCTATCCTCTGAATAGATGATCAGACTCCTGGCCCCAGACGTGCAACGTCAGTGAAACATCAAAATACCACAAGCATCAAATTGCATTTCACCTCAAAGCTATCATGGTAGTCTGTGTTTCTCCAGATCAGCTGGTTGCTTGGGCGGGGGGGGGGGGGAGATTGGCTCTTCTTGTCTGCCAGCCTGCGTGCTGGAGGAGGCTGCGGTCTGGCTCTTCCCCTGCCAGCAACAAACCCACGTGGTACTGGTTCCCAGGGAGGACTTGCTTCTTGGTGAAGCCTTGTTTTCTCTCCTCACAATGTGGGAATGGTGCAGAATCATGGGTAAAGGCTGGAGTCTGGCTGTCCCCAAGTCTGGTGGTGACCCATGCCTGGTGCAGGTTTGCGGGGGGGGGGGGGGCTTGCTTCTTGATGAATCCTTGTTTTTACAAAATTTTACATTTCAGATATTGTACTTTTTAACTCCAGAATTTCTGTTTGGTGATTTAAAAAATATTATCTTTGTCTCTGTCTTTTGTGTGTGTACTGGGTATTGAACTCAGCGGTATTCTATCACTGAACCACATCTCTTACCCTTTTATTATTATTATTGTTTTTTCAAGGAATTACTAATTGCCCTAGAGTAATTTGAACTTGCAGTCCTATCTATCTATGTATCTATGTATCCATCTATCTATCATCCCTCATTTGTGTATCATCTATCTACACGTCTACCTACGGCTATCTAGTTATACCTATCAATCATCTGTATCTATCATCTATCAATTATCATCATCTATTTGTCTATTAATCATCTATCTATATCCTTCTAGTTCTCCTCCTCCTCCTCCTCTTCTTCTTCATTTACCTCTCATCTATCTTTAACTATCTCCTGAGATTATCAGAGTCACTGCGGACAGGCAGGATACCACAGGTTCCCAACTATGGTGGAACCCTGAAGAGAAGCCAGAACAGCTACACAGTCCTTAACAGCTCCAAAATTCAAAACCTTGGGAGCCTCAGGGGACCATTTATAGCAGAAATGGAGTCACCTATTCTTGAGTTTTTCTGCTTGCTGCAGAAGTAGACTGAAAAGTTCTGAGTTTTACTCTTTGTAATACAGAGGTCTTAGGAAGCATTTAGTTTTTCAGCTCTCAACTTTTCTTTCTCTTCCTTCCTTTCTTTGGCATTGCTTAGGATTGAGCCCATGACCTTGTACATGCTAATAAGCCAGTGCTCTACCACTGAGCTATATCCTAGACATTCAACCTGTTTCAGCACAGCCTGACCTCATGGGACTTTATGCCACTTTCCATGTTTCCAAGAGAATTTCTGTAAGCAACAATATTTAGAACCAACTGGAGTATTGTCTTTAAGAAATTCATGCAACACTTGTGAGCTATGGTCTTCAGGCTCCAAGAGTCTCTGGAATGCATGCAACCTCAAGACTCTTAACAGAGACATCTCAGATAAGAACAAGGATAGAGTCTCATGGCCCTCTAAGATGTCTGTAGACTAAAGCAGAAGGGATCTAAGGAAGAGTTTGTTGGTGACTCAGGCTTCCATGAGAGATGCCTGGCAAAGTTCCAGCTAGACTTTCCAGCTAGTAAAGTCTGAGGCATAGCCTGAGAAAGGACTCCAAGGCAGTCTGCCCATCAAGGAATTTTCAGGTACCTAGGTTTTGGGGGTTGATTCTTTAGATGAGACAACAACAAACAAAACAAAACAACAAAGTTCCCCAAATAAACAGAATTACTGAGTCCCTTAGATAGTGGGTCATGAAATGAGTTATAAATGTGCTCAGGAGAGAACCGAGACCAAAATTACACAAAGGCGCACGTGCATACACACACACACACACACACACACACACACACACACACACGAACGAAATAACATTCAGGGTTTTGTTGAGGTAAGAAAACCCAATAAAGACCCCACCCCTCAGGACTGGGCACTGGGATGAACCAGTATTTCCCCCAGCTCCTTTACCCTCTTGACTTTCAGGTCTATGCATATGGTCTTTCTCCCTTTTCCTCTCTCTTTCTCACCTCTGCTCGCACCCAATATGGACATTCAAGGACCAGAAATTCTTGTGTACCTTCTAAGAAGGAAAAGATTCAAGTTCCAGGGGAAGTTGGAGAGCCCCAGGCGTCACACTGAAGGACTGCTTGCCTCAGATGGCCTGGTGTCTCATGAGTATGTACTTGAGTCAACTTCTCAAGTCTATGTGTCCACATAAGTGCCAGAGGGAGAGGCCTAGGCCACCAGACCCAGATGCCAAAACTTCAGGCCTCTGGGAAGAGCAAGGGCAAAATTTTAGCCCCATTTTGAAAGATAGACTACCCTAGGCACCCCAAAGTAGGAGAGTGTGGAGCAGGGGATGCAAGGTTGTGATCCCCCAGGCCAGAGGATTAGCAGATACCCTTGTGCATGAAATCCCCTAGTTTCCGCCTTAACGGGAACAGCCTCTGGCAAAACATACCTCATATAAGGACAAGACCTTTTTTAGTGTCTCTGTCCTGGCATGAAAAGCAAACAGGAAGTCTGCTGTGAAGCCCAGTCAGTAGGCACGGTCTTCACTCAGAGCTCAGCAGGGCATGCCTGCAATAGCCTCATCCTGGGATGCAGCTGTCATGCGGGAGGAAAGTTGGTCCAGGAGGAAGGCAGTCTGAAACCCCAGGGCTCCTTCCCAGCCAGGCCCAAGGGAAAGGATGGAAATCACAGTGCAGAATCACTTCCCAAGGGATCTCAGCAGAGGGCCAGATTTATCTCAACAGGGACAAGCAGGTCAGGTTCCAGAGTAGCTATCCCCAGAAAAGTGTGTTCAGCATCTTGTTCAGTGTCTCCGGGAGCTCAGGTTCCCATTCAGGCCCTGGACTCTGAGCCAAAGATGTTACTAACCTCTAGCTACTGTCTCTACTCCCATGCCTGGCCTTTGAGGGTGTGTCAGCCAAAAAAAAAAAAAAAAAGAAAAAGTAAAAATTCCTCTTCTAAGAAGAAAATGTCTTTAACTCAGAGAGATGCTTTAGACAAGAAAAGAAAATCTATTACAACAGATCTCACATTGACACGTTTTCTGAAGAAGATGGTCTCTGTCAGGACCAGGGTTATGTTTTCTCCCACATGGCCTGTTTATTCTAATAGATGAATGGTGTTGCTGGTCTTGGTCATATTTGGATGCTTTTGGATTCCAGGAGTCTGAGCTTACAGGAAAGAGTCAGCTTCTCCTTGTAACTGAGGGTCTGCTTGGCTTCTTGAAGGTGACCAGGGTCCCGACCGAGGCTGGGAGCAGCACACACACCACCCCTCCTATGTTCCAGGTTTACTGTTTCTGCTTAGATGCCATATTTTTAAAATACTTTATTTTTGATAATACTGTCATTACAAAAAATACAAAAAAACTACTATAAAAACATTCAGGGGCTTGTCAAAGTGAGAAAACCTAAAGACCCCACCCCAGGACCAGCTGAAGCAGTCTTCTCCCAGCTCCTCCACTATTGACTTACACAACTGGGGGAGTGGGGTGGGATCACACAGGCATAAAAGGGCTGGAAATTCCCCACACAGCCTCCAAGAAGGGTAAGAAATAAGTAGCTTCACATATCACAAAAGTGGGACTTGGAAGTTTGGGGTGGCTAGGCCCTGAGTTCAGAGGTGTGGAGAGAAACCTGTGACCCTGAATCTCTTGTTGGGGAATAGCTGCCACCTGACCCCAAAGCCCTTTCCCTTCTTGATGAGGGCTGGGAGATGGGCCCTGGCCCACCCTTAGCCTTAAAATCCCAAGCCCTTCCTCCCTTTCTCCACCCTCGAACATTCCTCAGAGCAGCAGAGAAGGCAGAACCTGTCTGTGAGGTGTAGGCTGGGGGCAGCTGTTGGGGAGATTGCTGAGGGTCAGTTTATCTCCCTCCCCCAAATGAAAAGTGTCTCGTGCTCAATGGCCCTGTTCGAGGGTTGCGGACTTCCCCTTTCTGTCTTTGCCTCTCCTGCCTCCTGGAGAGTACACATAGCTCTGGATGAGTGCTTCATGTACGTGGATATGTGTGCGGCAACCATGGACACTGTGGACCAGGGGTGGGGGTGGAGACCAGTGTCCTTTGTATCCTCTTCCTCCCCCACACAGGAGGAGCTCAGAGGGAAGGGAAAGGAAAGGTATCAGCAAGGCTGAGGGAAGGAGGACATGCTATTTACAGGCACAGACAAGGGATCTATATCTTCAAGTAGCACTCAAGTCACTCCCCAGCCACTGGAGTGGAAACTGGATTCAAAGCTAGTGACAGAAACACTGACCCCTGGCCTGGGCTGGCTCTCCCCACCTCCCTCCCACTCCCCAAGGCAGCCCAGCTCTGAGAAGGGTCAGGGACAGGAACGTTATCCTGAAAACCAGTGGCTTTTTTTGCGTTTTAGAAAAAGTTTCCAGTGTCCAGTGGATGTCAAGCTGGGTGTACACTGGACGGGTGAGTGTGGGGTATTGCTGTGGTAGACTCTGGGCTGGCTGGGGCAGCGCCTAGGAGCAGGGCAGGTGCTGCTTCAGGATCTGTCGAGTCTGTGGTGTCAATCTATCCGGGAAGCGGACCTTGAACTCCACAATGAGGTCTCCCCGCTGCGTGGGGACCTTGGGAAAGGGAAGGCCCTCCCCTCGGAGTCTCTTCACTGTGCCAGGCTTGATGACATCATTGCAGGGCAAAGGAATCACTCGGCCATCAATGGTGGGAATGTTCACGGTGCAGCCGCACAGCGCCTGAGGAAAATGAGGCAAAGAGTGAGGGAAGGGAAGCAGAAACGGGGCAAGAGTGTGCCAGGAAGGAAGGAAGGGGTGTTTCCTATCACCCCTCCAACACACGTTCACCACACACACCACACACACCCCATACACATACCCGACACATACACCTCACACACCCCAGGCAGCCCCACCTCCTTGAGGCTGATCAGGGCGCTGTAGAGCACATTGGTGCCATCCCGGCGAAAGTGTGCATGGGGCTTGTCCTTGAGCACGAAGACGATGTCGGCAGGGATGTTGTCAGGTGTGGCATCGCCCTCTTTGGGGAAGGTGATCTTGGTGCCTTCCTTCCAGCCACGCTTGATGACAATGTGCAAGATTTTGTCCTCGGTGCGCACAGTTCGCCCGTCAGGGTTGAGGCGCCGCCTTGTGATCTTCATGCGCTTGGTAGAGCCGTGGTAGATCTCCTCCAGGGACACCCGCAGCTCATGCACCACAGGTGGGTCCTGCACTTTGCGCCGGGGATACAGAGGTTCTGGGGCTCGCCGAGGACCCCTACTCAGCCCATTGAAGCCAAAGCGGCCAAAGGCACCAAATGGGTCCTCATCTTCATCCACATCCATGTCATCTGGGTCAAAGCCACTGAAGGGCCGAGTGGAACGGCTGCTGGCAAAGAAGATATCGAAGGGGTTGGAGCCACCAAAGAAGGAGGCAAAGGTGGCGTGAGGGTCCCCATGAAAGGTGTAGTGAAAGGAGCCACTGGAGCCACCTGACGTGCCACCGCCGGTCTTCAGGCCTAAAGGGGAGGAGAAGTTAGGGGCAGTGTGGCACATCTTGGAGCCACCCCAGTGTCTCCCCCACTGCCCTCTAGTTTTTGGGTTTGGGCCTGAGAAGGAAGCAACCTTTAATTCCCATGGAGGGACCACACTAACAGAACATGGAAAGCTTCTGGGGGGATTGATTTCCACTCTTAATTAATTACATATTGGAGCACAATGTGAATCTTGGTCATTACCAAAAAGCTGGAAAAGCCAGGACCAGGGGATTTACGGGAGGTAACTTCTGGTCCTGTAACTTTTTCCACATACTCATGGCCCAGAGATGTCTCACAAAGCCTTGAATGACTGGTTGGGGTCACACTGCAAGTCATAGCTGGCTCCGCTCTTCCTCAAAGACACATAGGACAAGAGGCAATGAGGCAGGATTTGACCATACAGAGGGCTGTGAGTGACCTCTCCGGGATGGGGTAACATAGTTCAGGAGGAAGCCCACTGTTTACTTTGCTTCTAGTAATCCTTCTTCTTTCCCAGATCCTTCCCAAATAGGAATCAGTAGAAGCAAAAGCAGCAGAGTTAATTTGAAGACAAGGAGCTATTTTTCTAGGAAAAGTTTTCAAATAAGCTGTGCACAGTGTGGCACGGTCTCAGTGAATGTCACTCACACTTTGTATCGACCCAGCCTGCACACTGCTAAGCTGTACCCCCACACCTAATGGTGAGCAAACACCACTCATGACCAGGTGGGCGCAATGCCGGTGGTGCGCCCGGCTGTTTGCTTTGCAGCCCAGTCCTGTCTAGGAGAATCCCACTCCGGGATGTTGCCTCCAAGGGGCAGCGGTGGTGATGCTGGAGGTCACTAGGGTGGGGTGAGAGGGGATTCATTCAGAGTGGATACAAAACTTGTAGACTCAGGAGTGGACCCCTCTCTCTAAGGCCTTTGATCTAGAATTTTAATGGGCTATGAAAGCCTGAGCCTACATCAGCCTGCTACTTCTTGGGGCTGCGAAGCTGGATCTGGGTTTCACCAGTGAGGCCAAGCAGCCCACAGCTCAGGGACCTGTGCAGCTGCCTCTTTACCCTCCCCCACGCCCTAGGGTCTGCTTTTTCCTTCCGTCCAGGGGTGACTGTCCAGAGCTCGGGGAGGGAGGGAGCGTCGACTAATGACAGGAGGGAGTGACTCTCACTGGGCATCCTGTGCTACCACCACCACCTTTTCAAACTGGGAACAATGGGTGTCCCAAGCCGGAGAAGCCCAAGCTGGAGAAGCCAGGGAAGTCTGTGTGCACCATTGTTCTGGCTGTGTGCACCATTGGGGAGGAGGCAGGGTGGGCCAAATGTAACCGTTTCCAAGGCTGCTTCTCCCTCCCGAGCCTGGAGGCCTGGAGAAGGCTGTGCAGCACCAGCAGGGCCTTCTGGGTGAGGGTCTGTGCCTGAATCCAGGGTCCAGGCCCAGGGTCTGAGAGGGACCCTTTGCAGAGTGGGGGTGCAGTGTCAGGGTAGCCCTCCCTGTCCTGGCTTCTTCCTGAACAAAGGGGAGGCTGAGGGGAAGAATGAGTGCAATTCCAGTACAGGTCACAGGGTGGCATGGTGCCCACACTGCTTTCTGCTTGCCCTGCCGGTCCTTCCCTCCCATCCCTATATCCCAGAGAGAAAATGCTGGGGCTAATGCTGGGGATTCCAGCAGGTTCCCGGTGAATCTGGAAGGCGGTAAGAGCCAGAGCGGACAGGAAGAAATGGAGGGAAGAGAGAAAGAGAGGGGGCTGGGAATATTGGGGTGCACAGGGGACCGGGGAACACAAAGCAAGGGCTGGGGGAGAAAAGGACAGACACCTTTTGACTCCTGCTTGGTGTCCAGCACGGTACACACCATGTTTCATTTTGAAGACACGGTAGGCAGGGTAAAGTGGAGGATAACGTGAAAGGAAGGTGGATGTGTTGGAGGAAGGACAGTTCTCCCAGGAAGGAGAGTCCTCAGCCATGACAGCGTCTCTTAATATAGCCTGACAGGTGCCTGTGGCTGGCGGGTGGCAGGCGGCCCTGAGGGGCAGGCCCAGAATTAGCAGCTACATCATGCCTGTGGGATGCAGGGGGAGGGGCCACCTCTCAGAGGCTTTATTTGGGCTTTTCCTGCCACCCGCCCCATGCTTGGCCACCAGCTGCCCCGGGGAGGGGTAAGATGCCAGCAGCAGTTCCCCAGCGGCCTTGGATCCTTGCCATTTTCTTGGTGAGGCGAAGCTCCTTCTCTGTGCTGCCGGCCTGAAGGGGCAGGGGCAGGGGCAGCAGGGGACAGCCACTTCCACTCAGAGCTACCGCCCAGGGCCAGACTTTTATGCTGATGAATGTAAATGCCCTGTCCTCAGTCATCGGGATCCTCTCCCCAACTTTCCTCACCAACCAATGGGGCAGCGGGGCCTGCAGGCAGGACTAATAAGGCTGGGAAGGACTGGCTCTGACTTCAGAACTTCTTAGAGCCTGAACGTAAGAGGGCCAGGGGAGAAAGGCGGGAGGACCCCAGCAAGCTGAGGCGAGGCCCAGAGGCAGCCCAGGTGTCCGCCCTGCTCACCTCTCGGCCTCCATGCCCTGCTGTGACAGCCGCGTCCCCAGAACTCCAGACAAGCTTGGAGCTGGCCTGGGCTCTCTTACTCTCTTACCTTCCTCCCCATACTGGTCATACAGGCTCCGTTTCTTAGGGTCGCTCAGCACATCGTAGGCCTCTGCAATCTCTTTAAACTTCTCCTCGGCGTTGGGCTCCTTGTTTTTGTCAGGGTGGTACCTCAAGGCCATCTTCCGGTAGGCTTTCTTGATTTCATCTTCATTGGCCCCTGATGGGATCCCAAGAATCTTGTAATAATCTTTGCCCATCACAGCCACTGGACCGGTGCTGGTCTCCTTGTTTCTGAAAGAAACCCACGGCCAATCCTTGGTGCCCCAGTCTCTATTTCCCAGCCCTGTTCCTGATGATCCTACAATTCTAACTGATACCCTGTGTGAGCTTCAGTGGGTCATGCCTGTTCTGGGGGCCTCTGTCTCCCCATCTGTAAAATGAAGGTTCAGACTAGATGATCTCTTCCAGCTCTGACATCCTGGGATTCTGTGATTCCTTCCTCAGCTTCTTGGGGTCAGACTGGGGACTTCTGAGAGCCCCTTCTGAGGGAGGTGGTGGCACCGTGGACTGACAGACCCACACACAAAAGCTACAGAAGGTCGATGGCCTGGTGAGGTCACCTGAACATCATGGCTCCTACGCCACACCTCAGGCATGGTGCCCAGGCTGAGGGCAGCTGGGGCAGTGCCTAGGGCTGGGAACAGGTCTGGGTTTTCAGTCAGCTGTCCTGGCCAGCCAGGCTGAGTCAGGGTATGAATGCCTGGAGTCCTCCCTTCCTTTGGAGACCCCAAGCCTCCCTGCTCCTGCCCCCTAGACGTGCTAAGCTTCACATGTGACTCAGATCACAGGGTGACTCACAGCCTCGCTGTTCCAACGCCCTCATTAACTGGGGGTGACACTGTCCTTCCCCCAATCAGGGCGAGAGTTGCCTGTACTCGTTTTCTAATGTCTACACACAAACTGTGCAGACCTGTCTGTAGTGCTTAACACTGTGCAAAAGCTTCCCCAGGAGAGGGCCGTTTTGAACCCTAAATGTTGGGAGACACCTGGACTCTAACCACCATTCCTGAGCGCTTTCCCTGCAAGCCTCTCCCTCTTACCTGTCCATGTGGCTTAGGATCTGGCCCAGCCCACACACCCCGACAACCCCTTCTAAACAGGTGCTGGGGCATCCAATACAGGAAGAAGAAACACAGGCTCTGAATCTTCACTGCCCCATCCCTGGCCCTGCAGTGCATCTGTGAGGGGTATGAAACAACAGGGGCCTTCCTCTGTCTAGAGCTATTTGGGGGGATGGCTAGGAGCCATTCTCTGGCTCTTCTGAGGCTCAGCCAACCCCTGCCGAAGCTGGGAGAACCAAAGTCTTTCTAGCAATGTCCTGGGCTGGCAGCCACAGTCAAATCCTGCTTTTTTGCTATGACTGCTTCAAACCAGTGAGGTGTACAGTGTGTCCTGGCAGGAACTGGGTAAAGGGGAAGTGTCCAAGGCCCCAGGTAGGCAATGACAATGACCCTAGATCCTGTCCCCCCCCTGGGCCTGATGCAGTAGGTTGACTCATGGTGCCAGGAGTCACCTCATTCTGACGAAGACAAGGTGCCATAAAGGCAGGTACTCCCTCATCTCTCCACACCAGCATGTCACGCCTGTGGGGGAGATGGGCTGGGGGAGGCAGAGAAGAAAGAGCATCTGGAGGAGGGCAGCCATTTTCGGAAGCAGCGGTAGAAGCCGTCTGAGAGGGTGCTGGGGGTGGTCTGCCATCACGGCCTCAGCCCACATCTTTTTTCCCCTGGGACTGGGAAGGAACCCCAGCACTCCATGGGTGCCCCAGGGAATGCTAGCAGCTCTAACCGCAGCGGGAGTGGAGCTGCTCACCATCCACCCACCCGCCTTTTGTTGTCCCTGCATCACCTTCTCTCCCAGCCAGCTTCCTCCCTGGCACCCACCTGCTAGCTATTCTAGACCCACATCGCTCTTGCCTCCAGACACAGGGCAAACTGTTTCAGGACATGCCTCCTTTCCTTCTCTTTTCCACCCGCCCTCCCCTCCCTACCCGCAAGCAAGCCACGTGGTGGGATGACAAAGGAACCCCATGGCATGCCACTGCCTCAGATGGAGCAGAGTGACAGGGGATGTCAACCCGTGGCAGGAATGAAATATGGGAAGAAATGGCAAGAGGGACTGTTGGGGCACAGGGCTGGGGACGGCTGATGTGGAAAACAAAGTGCTGATGGAGGGGCTGAGAGACGACAAATAGAAATGGCTGAGGTGGAAAATGGGGCCCTGAAGGGTCAAGGGGGAGAGCTGGAGAGAAACCTGAAATATTGGGGGGATGGAGAAAACAAGGTTTGAGAGATGAATGATAAGAGGTGAGCTCATTCACATGTCTGGGAAGGAGAGGACGCGAGTACTCAGGCTGAGATGAGGTGGGATGGAGTTGGGTTGGCCATGGAGGCGATGGCTGATGTGGGGGTCTGACTTCGGATGAGAGTGAGTGCCCTTCTCTGGAGGGACTTACCGAAACTTTACAAACCCATTCAGCGTCCACGCTCGAAGTTTTAAGGGCTCCAGCTGAATTTTAAACATCAAGCTGGCTAAGAAGTCTTCTCCCCAGAAGTGTGGGAAGCTCCGGAAAGCTCCTCGAGCCTGGAGTGGGGGTGCTGCTGGGGGTGGGCAGGAGAGCACTGTGCGCTTAAACATGCCCAGCCAAGCCCCTCACCTCTGATCGCTCCACCGGAGCCTGCCTGGAAAGCTGCTGCTCTGGAAGCCACCTCCTCAGATTCTCGGAGGCCCTTGCCCAGCAAGACCTGTCTGGTGTTGCAGGAGCCAGACCTGATCCTCAGGTGCCAAGAGTGAAGAAAGAGGGTCCAGTAGCCACCTGCTTGTGCAGGTGCAGCAGTGTCTGGAGGGTTGTGAGTGGCTGTGTGGCAATGTGACAGCGAGGTGGCGGCCGCAGCGTGTGCTGGTGAGTGGCAGCGTGTGTACCTGTGAGTGGTGTGACAGTGAGGGGTGCGAGGCAGTGAGCTCCGTTCGCCTGCGTGTGGGGAGGACCCAAGCCCAATCCCCAAGAACCTACTCAATGAAGTCACTGACGGAATCTCCTCCTCCGCAGAGGGCGGGGAGAGGCGGGGCAGAGCGGAGCCCGGCGGCCGGGACAAAGGCGCGGCCAGCGAGCAGAGGAGGGGGTTTGGGCGGGAGGGGAGGTGATGTCACCCCGCTGGCTGGCTGGCCTGCTCAGAAACGGTTCCGCCTGGCGGACCCAAGCCCACCTGGCCCACCCGGCCCACCCGACGCTCAGACGCTGACTGCCCTCTGTGAGACCCACGCCTGTGCCGCGGACCTACTCGCAGACCCCGAGTCCCCAGTCCCCGCATTTCCACAGCATAACACCCGAGGGGTCCTCTGTGTCCCAGTCCCCCTTCCCCCCTCCCACCGACACCGAGATCCCTGGCTTCGCGACACCCCCGCTCCCGGGACCCCCGAGCCCTAGCTCGGCGCCCTCACCAGTGAGGAGCTGCGGGCGCCGCCGCGGTCCGTCACACAGCCGCTACCCCCTCCCCCGGCTCCGGCTCCGCCGCCTCCACTCGGGACAGGAGTCGCCTGCCCGCCGGCCGCAGACAGCGGGACCGGGAGCCCGCCCCCACGGCTCCGCCTCTGCACCGCCCATTGCGCCGTCGGCCCGTCACTCATCTCAGCCTCGTCTATGATTGGCCCTTTGTTGAGGAGCGCCTAGGTGAGAGCCACCCCTTCTCCGCCTCTGTCACCCGGCCACACGCGCACACATTCCGGGCACTGATTGGTGTGGCTCTGATTGGTGCCCTCTAGGATCAATCAACCACGCCTCTTCTCCATCTCGTCTCGTCATTGGTGAAAAGCACAGAAGGTGGCAACTCCTTGCGCCCTTTGATTTTATTGGTTTGTCTGTGAGACTCTGACCTGAGCGGGAGGTGGGGGGTGGTGGTGGCAACTATATTAGTCCAATCTCCGGTTTGCGAAGGTGGGATGGACTGGTAACCGCTCGAATCCCAGCAGAACCTTCTGGAACCCGTGCAACGTCAAAGGCAGCCTTAAAGGAAAATTACACCTACCAGTTGGCAGTGACAAGGGGCATTCTTCCTTTTCTTCATTTAGTTGGGAGATAGAATAGTGTACTCTGGGAGATGTAGTCTCTGGACCAGAGCCAAAAGGTCACCGTTTCTTAGCTGACTTCCGCTGAACTGTGAACTAACCTCGATCTGACTTGATTTAGCTTCACTTTACCTTGATTTAGAGTTGATCTGACATCACTTAATTGGATCCCAGAACAGACATTAAGTGGCCTTCCGTTCCTCCGTCTGTAACCAGTGTCGCTCTTCCCAGGAGTGGCACCTTCATGGTTCTCCTTTCCAACCTCTTTCCAACCTCTGAATAGTACCTTCAACCCAAATCCCTCATGAACAGACTTTCACCATTTCTCTCACAGCTCCCATTTAGAGCTCCTCATAACCAACCTTTCGTTTTACTTCAATGTGAGTTCCTGAACATTAAACCCCTCTTGCAGTGATCTCCTCTACACCCCAATCTTTTCTTTTCTTTTTTCATTCTTTTTTTTCTTTTCTTTCTCTTCTTTCTCCCTTTTAAAATCCGGTCCTGTTCTTTATCTTGTGCATCTGTGGTCTTCTCTATTATAGCCCCCCCCTTACATTTTCATTACATTTCCCCCTGCACTCCTTTCCTAACACCCTCAGACTCTTTCATCTCAGCTGCCCCCCCCCCAAGTAATTAAATCTCAGCCCCAGTGTCCCCGATGCTCAGAGCAGGCGGGGCTGCGGAGGCGGTCGCCAGCGGAAGCCGCCGCTCCAGCAGACACGGAGCCTGGCGCCCACGTTACTGTCTCCCAGGCCCATCTGTGCTTCAGGGAGCGGGGGTGGGAGGGGGTAATCTGGGGGTGAAGAGGGGGAAGGAGTTCTTGGGGAGTTCGACGACAAAGGAAGGGCCTGGGAAGAAGTTCTCACCTTTTTCTTTGCTGTTTCCTAGAGACAGAGTTTAGACACCGTGAGGTCAGGCAAGCTGAAAACTGAAGCTTAGAGTACTTAGTCCACAGAGTACAGCAGGACAGAGGCCCAGGAGCCGAGTATTTCTGTGTATTCTTGATTAGCTGCCTCCCTTCTGGTTCTGTCCTTGGGGGCACTCTCACCGCTCGTGTAAAGGGTGTGAGTTTAAGATCAGAAAACGAATTAGGATGAGAGGAGGATGGAGAAGTGCAGCTGGAGGGAAGAGGGGGTGCCTTGGTCAGTATGGAAGACTGAGGTAGAGATGCTGGGGCCAGAGGGGAGAAGGTGGGCAGTAAAGCGGGGGAGGGGGGATACAGGGATGAGAAGGGGATGGGGCCTAGCAGAGATGGAAGATGGCACGAACAGCGACCTGCTGGGACAGAGCTGGTAGGGTGAGGGAGAATGAGGAGGGGAAGAGATGAAGAGTGGTGTGGACATGGGTAGGGTGGGATGAGGGAGCCTGCATTGGTGCTGGCTCCCCAGATTTCGAGGCTCACACCCCCCACCTCATGACTCGTGGGGGCCTGGGTTGTGGGTGGCTCTGCCTCTTCCTATTCCACTTCTGTCTCTTGCCTCCCCCAGCCTTGCCTGTGCCAACATAGAGGCAGGGTTTAGTCACCAGCTCTTACCTGGCCCCTGCTAATGCCAAAGTGTAGGCTTGAACCCACAGGCATGCAGGGTTATGCCTTAGGTGTTGGTGGCTCACATTGTCGTGTTTCTAGACCACAGCTGCTGCCTGTTGTCTCACTGTCCTGGCATTGGGTATGTATCATGGGAACCAGGGCACACAGTGTGGTGTAGACTGCTAGAATGTGGGTCTTAGAGTCAGGCTGTCAACACTGTGGGGCTGTATGCCATCCTAGGGCCTCATTTGTCTTCTATAAATGCAGAGAGGCCAAAGCAGTTACCTTACAGAGCTGTTGGCAGGGATAAATAAGGTAATGCATGTAATGTGATTAATTATGAGATTAGTATATAGTTAATGCTTTACCAAGTTAACTAGTGCTTTATATTCACAGGTATCTGGGTGTGTGACTGCGTCTGTAATTGTGTGTGTCTGGGATTGGGAGTTATGTGACTGCTATATTTGCAATTCAATTTGTGAGTGACAGTGTGTCTGCATAATTGATTTTGTATGGTAATGTGCTTGCTCTCTTATAATGTGGTTGTGTGTCAGTGTACATGTGTGATTAAATGTGTAAGTATGTGTCTACCTAACGCAATGTGGGCGAAATATGTGGCTGCTGAGACACTGATACACTGACACTGAGACATGTCTGCCAGTGAATGTAGGGATCTGTGATCATGCCAGCCCCAAACACCTCCGCTCACCCTCCCTCTACGTGGAGACGTCATAACCCTAGGCGTCCCTCATTTCCTCACCCTGAGGGAACCGGAACTGGTGGGCAGGAGTAGGGGTGGGTGCCACTGAGGAGGCGTTTAGACAGGACACATGTCCCCTCCTAGACTGTGTATGGGAGGGGAGCACCCTATCTTGCCCATATCTCAAAGCCTCCAGAGGAAGTGCTGCCCCCCTCCTGTTCTCAATTCCCCGACTTGTCACCATGGCAACAGTTGCCAGGGGCTCCCACGGTTGCTAAGATCTGGGTGTGGGAGGCTGCCAGGCCCAGTTGCCAGTAGAAACAGAGAATCCTGGAGCAGGGAGAAAGACTACCCCCACAGCTGTCTGCCATTCAGTGACAGGACTGGACCTTGGGTTTCTCCTCTCCCTAAACTGTTTTTTCCTTTTCTTTCTTCTTCCTTTTCTTTTGGGAGGGGGGATACTGGGGTTTGAACACATGACCTTGCACTTGCCAGGCAAGTGCTGTGCCACCGAGGTGTATACCTGGGCCCTCCTCCCTACATAGTATCTATGATTTACTGTGTGGTAGTACAGGGCAGGAAGCTTTAACAGGAATTTGGAGCTAGGATACTTGAATCCACTTTTGAAGAGAAAGGGGATGCTCATTCTGTCCCTGCCCCTCCTGCCTCTCCCCTGGACAGTATGTCTTTGTGAATCCTCCAGCAACTGGGTGCCTGTTAACTGGAATGCTATGCGAACCTATTAACTCGGACGCAGGCCAGTTTTTTTTTTCTGTGGTTATGCTCAGCATCACACCTGATTTATACTTCCCACAGACACCTGGCCCTAGGTTTTGATTTCATACTGAGTCCCAACTTCAGGGTGAGTCTGCGTCACGGACTTTGGTTATGAGGAAGTCCTGGATGCAACAGCTCCCCAAATCAAGCCATGGCCTAAGCTTTTTCCTTACACATGACCAAGCCCTAATTTTGATACCAGACACACTAACTCACTCAGGTTAAATTCTGATCCTGTACTCTGGGCACTGGTCAGGGTCTAACTCCCTGGTACCAGTGGCTCTGTGTGTGTTCTGAATCTACACAAATCAGTTTCTTAAGAACTTTGATGTGTTCTTGCTTTGGGATGAAATGGCAGTGCTAGACCAGCAGAGGGCATGCAGTGCCAGGTTCCAGAGGAAGCTTCCAGAGCGCTGCTGTGGATGAAAAAAATTGAAGTTTCCACGTGTTTGATGCCAAAACATTATGGTCATATGGTCCTTGAAGTTAGGAGACTGCTTCCAGTTCAACCAGGGTCTGGCATTTTAACACTCATGTGCCAGGGTTTGGCATTTCAACACTCAGGAGGACTCAATCCCCGATAAGGTATTTTCCTCTGAACACAATGTTTCTGTCATGTTTACCCAGATTCACTGCCATCCCCGGTATCCAGTTGTCCTTTGATCCTGTTGAGAAGAAGCCTGCGTCCCCACAGTGTTCCCCTTTTGTCTTAGCTCTCTCCTTGAGACCACCTCGACCTCAACCCCTTGTGCCATGTCAACCCTCTGCATCCCTCATGTCTGTCCCTCTCCGGGATGCCTGATTTCATGGGGTTCCCCTCTGGCTTAATCCCAGCCACTAGAACCACGTTCTTCTTTACAGAGTTCAGCTTGCGGTACCTTCTTCTCGGGTGCTTTTGCAGTGTGTAAATGAGCTAGCCCGCCTCCCTTTCTGACTCTGAGCTTCTCTCCACGCAGCCTCATATCGCACCGGTTACATTAGCGGTAGCCACCTCTGCGGTTCTCCCATCTCGTTAAGACTTCATGCTCTTCCCGAGCTTCTGAATCACTTGCTGCCTGTACTTGCTATGGATTTTGAAAAATAAAAAAATGAAATAAAAATTTTGACAACTTCTGAATTTTAGGGCAACCTTTTGAGCTTGAAAATTTCTGCCTTTGATGTTTACTTTAAAGGTGGGACAAAGACAGACTGCAGGTACTCTGCGGGCTTTGCTGTGACTTCAGCACTGTGGACAGAGACCACGGGCCATGCCCCCCCCCCCCCCCATGAGGGAGTGGAAGGCACAGCTGGAGATGGAAAGGAAATCCTTGTGCTCACTCAGTGCCTTACAGTGTAGTGAACTCTTTCTCTCTCTCTCCCTCTCTCTTAAATTTTGTTTTGTGTTTTTGAGGCAGGGTCTTGGTATGTTGCTCAGGCTGGCCTCGAACTTAGTGTAGCACTGGCTGGGCTTGAACCTGCACCCATCCTCCTGTCTCGGCCTCCCAAGTGCTGGGGTTACAGGTGTGCATCACCACACCCAGTGTAGCTCTTTCCTCTTACCAGTCTCATTCTGCCTTTACTCAACTACCAGCTCTGGAGGCAGATAACACAAGGGCAGTTTTTCAGATTTTCAACAGATTAAAGCAAAACCAAAAAGAAAGCAAACAAATCCAGATCCAGGAAGGGCAAACTCTAAACAATCCTTGGACATGGTGGGAGAGAGAACACTAATTACTCCATGTTTAGCAAACTTAGCGGCTGCTGTGTCCCTTTGAGAAATGAGGTTCCCTGGGCACAGAGGAAGCATACTTGGACCAGTGCAGGACAAGCTGGTGGAGGTGTGTGTGAGGCTGAGGCTCTGACCAGCCATGGGAGTAGGTGACAGCTGGTGGGACCAACAGTCCCAGGAAGACACAAGGGGCAACCAGGATTGCTGGCCAGAGGGTGGTGTAAACTTGTTCTACTCTACAGAGCCTTAGTCTTTATGTACCTTTTTCTGCCTTGATGTTCAGCTTTCCTGGAGACAAGAGGGCAGTGTGATGTCACCAAGCTGCCTCTAGGTCTGATGGATTCCCCACCCCACTGGGAGTATTAAGATCTTCGACATCACTACAGGCTTGGCAACTGTCCAGGTCTGTGTCCAGGCATGATGAGGGAGGTGTGGGTCATACTGCAGCGTTTCCTTTGAGGGGTACTTTGACAGGCAACACAACAAAGTGGCTAAGAACACGGGTAATGAAGACGGATTAACCGGCTCCCCACTTCTTATGTGATCTGCAGGACAAATCTTACAAGGGTTTTTGTTTGTTTCCTGTGGCACCAAGGATCAAACTCAGGACCACATACATGTTGGGCAATGTGCCACTGAGTCGCATTTCCAGATTCTTTATAGGGTTTTTCTGAAGTTTACTTTGTGAGCCACTTAGGACCACCAAGTTAACAATGTTAGCAATTGCTTGTACCTTGTGATTTCAGATGTAATGCCAGGATCTGATCTATGGAAGAAATGCTTCACTCTGCAGGAACTGGCTGTGTTCATGAGGTAAAGGTATGAATGGAAGCTACACAGACCTCCAAATGCTCTCTGTACATGAGTTCTTCAACTCTGTCAAATCACGTTAAAATGGGTAAAAGTAGGGAGAAAACTCCCTAACCAGGATGGTCCCAGAGATCAGGAGAAAATATCCGACTTGCTTCCCCACTTTGCAGCTCACCTGGAGCTAAGAGGAGTCTCTGAAACTGGTCCTTCATGAGGGTACAATACATAGCAGATGGGTTGGGAGACCTTATTCCCTCTTCTCAATTTCCAAAGCTTGGATTCTCCCCTTTACTCGCTCCCCCACTTCCTTTCTGTACATGCTGGAATGATCTTCATATCACCCATCTGCTGCTGACACACGGCCATCACTGGAGCCTTGGGAAGGTCAGGGCCACTGTATACTGTGTTCCTCTTGGAGGCTACTGTGGCTCCTGTCTTATCCCAGAAACTGGGCAACAGTGGGAAGCCACAGATAAATGGTAGGTTCCCCAAACAAAAGGAAGCAGGAAGCTTAAGTAGTGTCACAATCTTTATTATGGTTTCTGTTGTGCTCTGGGAGCTCTTCTTGGGAGTGCCATGAAGGCTGGGGCAGAGGGAGGCGCATGCAGCTACAGACGGGAAGACAGGGCTTGGGGATGTTCTCCTCAGCTGTCAAGTTAGCTTCTGCAGAAAGTGCACAGAAAGGGCATGAGGGATTAGGGGTGTCAGATCCTCCACTGTTACCCAAGTGCTCCCCTTCTTGTGTTTAGTCGGGAGACAGATCATGGCCATCCCTTAACAGTGGGAGGGAAGCTTGCAGGCCTTTGCCATAATGGATATAGAAAGGCCAATCCAGTGCTATACAAACTGGAATGTGATTTGGCTCCTTAATTGTGAGTCCAAGTGAGACTTGACCCCCTCTGTGTCTAGGGCAGGTGGCCTAGAGAGAGACAGCTTTTCCTGAGTGCTGGTTGCATCTAATGGAAATTCTGTAATCTATTCATTTTCTTTTCCTTTTAAGGTTGCCAAAAATAGGGGCAGCAGGAAAGCAACAGCAGGGAAATTGCCCAGCCCCACTCCACTCCAGGGTTGAGCTGTTGGGAACAGGCGTGATGCACTCGAGGTGCCCACTCAAGATTTCTGTTGTCTGGGTTGCAGCTGGGGGACCAGAGATATATTAGCAAACTCAAACGAAGTGGCAAGAGAATAGCAATTCTGGCCCCCTGTAAATAGGGAGGATAAAAAGGGATGGTTACAGACACTGAAAGAATGTCCTTGAAATTCTACCATCAAGGTTTATCGAGATTTTAGTGCCAAGTACAGATCAGTCATGCAGTATGTAATGATCAAATCCCACCAAAAGTGCACTACGTGGTCCCGGAGGACTGTCTGACCTCGTCATGTCCTGTAGCAGTGCCTTACAATGTTCATACTACAGAGAAGCCACAGGGACACGGTTCACAGGATGTGTGCTCACTGTTAAGCAATGCCGGACTCCAGTGTGCCTCTGCCCTTATCCTGCAGGTCTGAAGTACACATGCTTGCCGGAACTCAGAGAGCCTGCCGCCAGTTCTCAGTCCTGCCTAGAGGTTCCTTTTGGCTCTGGGGTGTCCTGGTTGGCCTAGCTGTTCTGTTGAACCTTTTGAGATTTGGGGCTTCCTGACCCATTCTTACCAAATTCTTGGTGCTTGCAATGGTTGAAGTTGTGCTTTGGGTTAAAAGTCACTGGTAACAACTCTGGGGCTCATTGGTTGGCGAGGAGCCCTCTTCTCAGGCAGTCTATGGGCTTCCCATACTAGTACAGAAACAGGGGAACCGTTATCCCTGGCCACTCAGATACAGCTAGGGTGACATTGCATAGGGTGCACCAGGGCCCGAAAGGTGGGCATCTTCCCTCTCAGTCCATTTCCTGGGTCACAGGAAGAGGCAACATATTCATGGCTTCTGCTGCAGCTGTCCTCGAAGAGCACTTGAGAATTGTACCAGTACCCAGGAGTTAGAAATGCTCCCTCCTTGGGGTACCACAGGAGTCACTGCTCAAACGTTTTGCTAGGAAGGGCTGCCAAGGGACGGAAGCCAAGGCGCAGGCCTGGGGGGACTGTGCGGCCAGAGCCACTCCTTCAGTAACCATCTATCCTGCAGCCCCACACTGTCGCTTAGACGCCCCTTCATTTAAATCTGAGCATGGAGGTCTTCAGGGTGAAAACAGGTTTAGGGGAAGTGGTCTTCAGAGGAGTAAATCACAACCCAAGCCTCTCATGGTTGGGATTTGGGATGGGAAAAGCACTGATCTCAATTTTAGGTAGCCAAGAGTAAAAAACATTGAAATATTTTTATACCCTTAAGGGGCAGACATTAAGTTTTGTATCGGGCAGAATTTCAGTCACAGTGATGGAAGGGCTGGAAAAGGGAATGGGCTTCATGGGTCGATGGAAGTTTGGGTATCTCTACACATACTGCATGGAGCTCTAGGGATTAGGGCACTGCAGGATTTGGGCTGGGGGCTCTGAAACTCTGGACTGGGGAGCAGTGGATCCTCCCTTTGGTAAAAAGCTGGATGCTTACACAGAAAAGGCTGGCTGCCTGTGTGCTTTTCCACAGGGAACTGGGAACTCTCTGATTTTCTGGGCACAGTGTCCTCTGGGCCCTCTACAGCAGAATCCCCATCAAGGAAACTTGCTGCCCTGAGACAGAGAAAAGAGTGACCCTCCGTGGGTCTGCTCCCACCATGGAAGGACTCGGGCCTACTCTGCAGATCCTGGGACACAGCCAGCCTGGTCTGACCGATGGTCTCTTACCACTCACCCACACAGAGCCAGCAGCAGCAGCTCCAGAGTGGTAGGCATCGCCTTGATCTGTGAAAGATTAAGGATCAAGATGAGGGCCTTCCAGTCCCTGTGATTAGGAAAATGGCAGGAGAAAAAAACAAAGCTGTTCAGCTCTCAAAACTCTGATCTTGTTTCTACTCAAAATCTACCGTCTCTGAGATACAGCGGCCCACAGCTGCTGGTAAGCAAGAAGCCTGTGTTTAATGTTTCAACCTTCTCCATGTACCACCTCAGGCCTGGCTGCTTCAGACGCAGTGCTTAGGCTCAAGAGTATGCTTTCTTTCCTTTTTTGTAAATTATAAACTGAAGAATGGACTCTCTTACTGATCTGTCCTGTGAATACGGCTAAGGAGAAGCCATGGGTTTTGAAATGTTCAGAACCATACATATGAATGCACACGTGCCTCCCATTTCATTTCAGTCCTGAATAATCTCTTCTGCACAGTCTATCATCCTCCCTATGCCACTCTTACAGAAAGAGCGCACAGAGGGCTCTTTCCAGCCTCTGGCCATAGCTCCTCCCTCTTCTCTGAGGTTATGTCCTTCTGTAAGTATGCAGGCCTCACTCAATGGAGACACACTGGCCTCTGTGTGGCTGAGCTCAGGTCCCGCCTGAATAATTCTTGGTAGTCCTACCTGCCTGTATCTGACTAAGTCACGTGCTGGAAACAAAAACACAGAACCTGGAGCCCTGGGCCAGGGCTGACCCCTAATACACCAAGTTGAGAATCTGATGGAAACTTGGGAAGAAGGTGCTCACAGGCCAAGCTTGGCACCAGTGGTGCCCCTAACGTCCCTCACGTCCGGCCCAGGCCCTGGGCTGGAGAGTGAGGCCATGCAGTGAACAGGGAGAAGCAGCGAATGAGGCCTCACGGTGATGGGGGAGGGCTAGATTCTTCTAGGTGATTTCCCTGGGACCTTTTGTGCTTGAGGCAGTGAGATGAGACCTTCTTCAGACGCCCAGATGTTTCCCGCCCTTCCTGTTATGGCTGAACTCGATCCCTGCTCAGGGCCCTCAGAGCTGCTCTGTCTTGCGATGTGGAAGCTGGATTTCTTCTCTGCACAATGGCATACTTTTCTAGGTCTGTGGCTGACCTGGAATGGTGGAGGAACCGGAGTCCTCTCCGCTTCTCTTCCATGCACAGCTTGTTCTCACTGGTCTCTGTGGTAGTGGACTCGGGTTGAAGTCTAACTCAAGAGGGCGTGGACGTCTGCCAACATTATTTGTTCCATTCAGGTTGTTTGGGCTTGGGGACATGAGCTACCATCTGGGAAACAGGGACCAGGAAGGTTCACCCTGGTTTTTGGCTACTTTGCTGAAGACTTGTGGCTTGGATGACTTGGCTGAGAGGTTCCTAGAACCTGGGTCTCTGGGACAGGTTGCCTCCCCATTGCGGGTCAGCATTTCATAAGCTAGCTTCTTTCTCTGTCATAGGGAATCAAAATTTGAATAAATAACAGGTGAGGAATAAACCGCCTGCACTGTTGACTTCCGTTTCCCACCCCGCACACTTGAGGAATACAGCAGACACCCAGTAGCTCACTGCTGAGGGGGCCCTCAGTGTGGGCAGGAGAGGCCTCTCAGCATTTCCAGGAGACAAGGTGAGGCTGACAGGCTTCCTTCTGAAGAAGCAATCATCAGAGTCTTGTCTACTGGAAGTCAGAACTGAGCAACAGAAGAGCTGAGCAGAGACCACCTCATCTGCCTGGGTTATTTTTTTTTTTTTTCCACAAAAGGACTTTGGTCCTTTTCAGCTATAAAGAACCAGGCTTCTACAGGCGTGGACAGCCAGGCATGTGTGCGCACATGCACATGTGAGCATGTGGTGGCAAGTTTGGTCTCTGATGTGAGAGTGGGGTTGGTCCGGGAGTGGAGTGGGTGCTGCCACAACTCTCGGGCCTTTTCCCGGTGGCAGTGCACTTACTGCTTCTGCGGTAGGGGGAATGGTGACTTCCGTGCCACGATGCTTAATGAGAAATTAAGATATTGGCAGTGCTCCATCCCCGTGAGTCTTGGTGTCAGAGGTTGGTGGAGGAGAGGCAGAAAGGAAAGGAGGGAGAGGAAGCCACTGTCCTTGAACCACGGCTCTCTGTTCCACACTATCCCGGGGGCTTTAGGTGAATGGCCGCACTATTGGGGCGAGCGGCCAGGATGTAGATGATACTCTGCCGCAGGAAGGTCGGCCAGTCCACAGACCTACAGCAGAAGACAGATGTGTGCTGCTAAGTGCAGAGCCTAAAGGGGCTGGACAAAACTCAGAGAAGAAAAACTCAAAACAAAAACAACAATAGCTTATGTCTAATTATGGCTGGCTGTGTTACCAAGACTGCAGATCAGCTGCCCAGCTCTATTTTGGAGGTGGCAGTGGGGAATGCCCTTCCCTCCACATGTGTGATTTAGGGGAGCAGAGAGTGCAGACACCAAGAAGGGGTCCACTCACCTGGACTCCTGCTCTGCAGGCAGCAGGGCCTTATCCTGACTCCGGCTGCCGCTGCTGGCTGGGCTTCTGTCTGCTATAGGACCGACGTGGCTGATGCTGCTAGATGTAAGACCATGTGATTAGGAGGAGGATGGTGGAAGTCCTTGTCTCTCTCACACTGTGGTTTATCCACAGCTTGGATACACCTGCCAAGACTTTTCTGACATGGGGCAACATACGGTTCAGAGTAGAGGCCACCTATGCCCTCGCTAAAATAAATCAATGTCCTCTGCCTTACACACAGGAGGGCCCTCTCCTGGCTGTTGGTAGAACCAGGGAGATACCTTTTACACCAAGAGCCACTTGCATGGAAAAGGGGAAAGAGGCTGGGACTGGGAAGGCACGGACCTGACGTTGCAGGAAGCAGGCTCTGCGGGGTGTTTGCAGAACCAAGAGTGCTGGGCTTGGCGACACTGTGCTTCACTGATGGCGTTCCCACTGCCCAACGCCAGGAAGGCAGCTCGGGCTCGTTCTCGCTCCTTGACTGTCAAAAGCCTCAACAGAGAGTTCTGGGGAAGAAGAGCTAAATTAAGATCTTAGAGGTAAAGAGACCTTGTAAACTGTCAGCCACAGAGACCCCTACTTCTAAGACCTAACCATTGCAACCTCAGAAGTTGCCAGAGCTTTTCTGATAGCACTGTTCTCAGGGGAGTGCAGTGTAAGAAGACCGTCAGTGGCAGCCAGTTGGGCACAGATCAGCTGTCACCACACAGAAGCTTCACCCATTCCTGACAGCTGGCTGCTGTTCAGAAACTATTTCCTGTTCCCCAACCTGTCCAGTACGTTTCCCAGGCCTCTTCTTCCCCCTGCCATGCACAATCATCCCAGCTGCCTCTTACCTGAGGGCGCAGCTGCTGCAGAAGTAGGAGGGACTCGTGGGACAGGAAGTCAGGCCACTCTACATGGCCTTGGTGTTCAGGGTCTAGGGCTGCAAACTGGCGAGCTGCCTGCTCCTCCTGCTCATCACTCAAGGCTCTGTTACGCTCGCCCCGCTTTGCTGCTTGGTGGCGGTAGCGCACGAAGTCCTCCAGTGTCAGGGAGCAATCTGTGGGAGGCATCCCTTGCTGGCCATGCCCATGCTTCCTCAGCCCTGGACACCCATACTCACCTCCAAGGCCCCCTGGGCACAGCTCAGGGTGTGATAAAGGGTGGGTGGGTGCCCCTCCGGCCAGCAACTCAGGAATAAGCTCCTTTTACACCTCATCCCACAGTCCCAGAACACTCCTTCCCAGCTGATCCTCAAGAGAAGGAAGGAGAACTCTGCTCGTCCCATCCCATCCCATCCCGTTCCGTCCCCCTCCCGGCAGTGCCACTTAGCCTTACCAGGGATGACTTTACACTGCTGGAAGGTCTCTGAGAGACTGTACATTTCCTCCTCAGTAAGCAGCAAGTTGAGATTGTCCTGAAAAAAGAGCAAGGGCTGGGGATATAGTCAGTGGTACAGCACTTGCCTGGCAAGCATGAAGTCCTGAGTCAGATTCCTGGTACCCAAAAAAAGGAAAAGTCGGTCAGTGACCACACAGGCTGGTAAGAAGAAAAGAGGAGGATGGAAATAATATTTCAGCTGGAAGGCAATTCCAAGACTGTCCTATCCTAGCCTTCAATTACCAGGTAAAGAGACCAAGGCCCCAGAAAGGGCAAAGGTTTTGCTCCAAGTCTCCAACTCCGAGGTAAACTCTCCCCTAGAACCCAAATATACTGACTCTAGCTGAGTCCCTTTTACTAAAATACTGGTTTTTGGCAGTATGTGGTGGCACACTCCTATTCTGGGAACCGAAGCCAAAGGACTGAAAATTTGAGCCCAGACTGAGCAATTTAGCACGATCTTGTTTTTAAAAAAAGGACCTGGGGATGCACTTCAGTTCAAAGGTCCTGGGTTCAATTCTCAGTACAGCAAAAAAAAAAAAAAAAATCAAAATAAACAATAACAGAACACAATTGGTTTTCAAGTTCTCCTCTGAGATAAGGAGCAATTTCTCGGGACTGCCTCAGCAAGCTGCGGCAGAGGACGAGATGGTAGTGAGTGGGCTGGGCCGTCTCTGGCACCCACAGCAGCTCTGCCTTTGTATATTTTATGTGTCTGCATTCTGTGTTAGGCTATGCCCAAGAGTATTTTAGTTAAAAAGATTAACTCTAGCTCTGCTCTCAGTGGACTGCACTGCTTTAAATGACTTCAGAATGATTTTGAAAGAGATGCTATCCCAAAGCCAAATGATTTTTTTTGTAGTACAGTAGACATTTTAATTCCAAATAAGCATTGCTATCTTCTTTCAATGCTATCTTCTTTCAATACTATTAATACAGTCTTTATCAAAGATTCTAATAGTTAACTTTTTTCTTTAAAATACCAACCAAGAACACAAGCATGAATATTTCATGAATTTTCATTTTTAAAAGAACTGAAAGCATCCTTTCAACAAGCTTACTGAGAGCCTTGTAAATGCTGAGTATCACTGGGTTGTACATGCAACCCTGAATGATAAGAGGGAGGGTAGGTAGTCTGTGAGGCACCTGAAATGTTCTTGATTGAGCTCTTCAAAATGTTCTTGATTGAGCTCTTCTTTGGGCCGGAGATATAGCTCAGTGGTACAAGCATCCGCATGGCAAGCGCCAATGGCAAGGTCCTGAGTTCGAGTTCTGGTGCCAAAAAAGAGACCTTTATTCTGAGAGCAAAGGGCAAGCACCAAAAAGCTTTTAACTGGAGAACACCTTGGTCAGATTTCTGACTGCTGTGAAAAAAAATGGATTACAGTGGCAGAGACTGGAGTCATGGGGAGCCGTTATATGGCCGTTGCAATATGCAGATAAGACAGGCTAATTCTGATGTAAGAACAGAGACACATGATTGTAATCCTAGAACGCTGGAAGGCTGAGGCAGGAAGATGACAAATTCAAAGTCTGCCTGGGCAACTTGGTGATTTAGTGAGACTCTGTTTTAAAATAAAAAACAAAAAGACCTAGAGATACATCTCAGTGTGAAGGCCCTGGGTTCAATCAGCAGCAGAGGAAGAGAGTTAACAGTGTGAGCACAGAAGGGAGAGACAAGAGAACTGATGACTTACTGCATGTGAGAGGTGAGGCAGAGAAATGCCCTGGGACTGGGGTGAGGGGAGGAATGAGGGATGGAGGAACAGCAGGTTCAGAGGGAAAGAGGCATTCATCTGGGGGCAAGGTGAGCACGAAGTAACTGTGAGACAGGATGCGAAGTCCCAGAGACAGGAAGCTTCAGTCAGCTGTGGGAGTCACTAGTGTTTAGATGGTGGCTGAGGGATGACGTCGTCCGAAGAGAGCGCACAGTGAGAAGTTTATCAGTGACAGAACCCTGAGAAACACCAAAATTTACGACTAAGACGAAGATTAAAGGCACTAAGGAAGAACGGTCAGAGGCTTGAGGAAGGTTAACAGAGAAGAGCATTTCCAACGTCAGCAGAAAGAGAAAGTCGCACCAAGTGGGCCATGCTACCAGTGGTACCACGAGTGTGGAGGGATTTTATATGTTCTCTAGTTTCCACGTCTTGTGTAATAATTCGCTAAAAATACTCAAAACCTAACAACAGAAATAAAAAAATGCTAAGTACTTCAGAAAATCAAATAAGATGCTTAAGAGAGAATCACTGGACTTCATTAGGAGGGCACTGGTGACCTCAGGAGGAGCCAATTCAGTGCAATGATAGATACGGAGGTCAGGTTGTAAGTGGCCAAGAAGGTACAGGAGATAAAGAGGTTCTCTCAAGAAGCCTATGGGTGAAAGAGAAGAAAAAAAGCGAATGAACTTGAAAGAGGCCTTTGTGAAACATATGGCAGACAGCTGCAGTGGTGATGGTAAGACCATGATACAAGCTAAGAGGGAGCAGTGCAGTTCTGGGGGACAGAATGCAGACTCCTTCAACTTAGTCCAACACTGGCAGGAAATGGCAGCAACAGAGTTGGAAAGGTTAGCACTCTGAGTACCTTAGTACTAGGAAAGCTGTCTGTAGAGCAGGTTCTCCTGCAACAAACCCTACAGGAAGGACATTTAAGTGGCTGAAAATTAACTGTTCTGTACTTCATTTAAAGGGCAAGACAGAGACAGACAAGGGAATGTGTCTCTGGTGTTTTTCTAGGCAGTAGGGAGAAGAGGGCAATCATCAGATGTCCCTTACTCCGAAATCAGAGAACAATGACATTATCTGAAGGACAAGGTACCAGGAAGCAAAGACTTGAATCCATTCAGGTATGGCAGGGAGAGAGAGACAGAGAGAGAGCAGAGAGAGAGATAGAAATAGAAAGAGAGAGAGAGAGAGAGAGAGAGAGAGAGAAATGAATCTGGATTTCAATGAAAATCTTAGATTCTGTGTTTCAGTAAAAGATGGAAGGCATTTATAAGTAATTTGCAAAGTTCTGACTCTACAGTTTTGTTATTTAAATCACATGGCGATCACTTCAGAGATAAACAAATGTTTCTAAGAGTCAGGAGATAAATCAAACTAGGATCAAAGGTTAGATGGTTTTTCAGGGATAGAATCTATTACTATTGGAAAAAAGTTGGTTGGTTTTTCAAATGAGTACCATACGTGACAAGTAAGGACAGTCAGAGAAACTTCAAGTTACTTCTGAGTACTGAGGACCATTCTGTCCAGCTTAAGCTCAGCTCTGTGGCTTTCCACTGGGGATGATTTTGCTCTATCCAGGACATATCTGGTAACATCGAGACACAATTCTGCTTATCACAACTTGGGATACTGGCATCAGAGACCAGAGATGCAGCTAAACGTTCTATAATGTCCCCTCACACCAAAGAATGACCTAGCCCCCATACCAACAGGACAGAACTGAGAAACCCCATTCTAGTTCCAAGATCTTTGTGAGTACTTAGAACACTCTGTAGGCCACTGCCCAAAAAGCAGTGTTCTAACACTGGGCCTCTGGGAGAAGTGCCAAGGCCTCTGTCTTTTCTGCAGCCCACTGTCCCTGCAGCCCATGCTCACGCAGTAGTGGCAGCTCCAGCCTGTCTCCGTGTGGGCCATCTCCATCACTGCTGCTGAACCATCTTCTTGGAGGTAGCCCATGCGGCGCAGGCAGCCGTCATGGAAAACCCTGGTACAGACCCTGCATGGGAAGAGGCTCTCGGCTGTCCAGACCTCACAGATGTCGCACATCTCATCGTTGACAACCTGGGGAGAGATGGTAGAAGGGAGCTGGTACGTGGAAGATGGTGGGGGTAAACAGGCAGATGGCAGGAATGTGCAAGCCCCACGGCTCCTGAGCAGAGCTGCCTGCCTAGGGCAGAGGCTCCCTGAAGCCAGCATTCAGGTGACAGAGCTTTCTTCCTGGTGGGTGAGGACCAGGAGGCTCTTCTAGCTGCTCAGGCTTGGGGACGTTTCTGAACAGGAATGCTATCGGGGGTTTAGAAAGGACAATGTGCTGTAAGTGCTTTCTCAGGCACTGGAGTAAACTTAGCATCCCTAGTTCTCTTGGCATTGAACACTAGTATGTTCACTAGTATGTTCAGAGTGGGGAAGTGCTCAATCCCTGTGACTCCCTCCTCCAGATTTCTATTCCAACTTTCCAATGCATTCTTTTTTTCTGTCTTTTTGAGACAGGGTCTTGCTATGCAGTACAGGCTGGCCTTGGGTTCCCTTTGTAACTCAGGTTAGTCTTGAAGTTGCGAGTCCCCTGCCTCAGCTTCCCGAGTGCCGGGATTACAGGTGTGTACCACCATGCCCAGCTCCAAATGCATCCTCTAGGGGTTTTTACTATCCACCATTGAGAACCTGCGTGCAGGCGGGTTGACAGAAGACCCTCACTACCTATCACCCTGAGTCTTTCACTAAGTCAAATCCAAGGTGTAATCTGAACTCAGCTCCATCTTTGTGGTTTTGGGTCTCACTTAACCGTGCCCAGGTTTCCTCTGAAAGCTTGAGACTGTAGGACCCTGCATTCCCTGGACACTTACGGGTTCTCGGGGCTCCAAGAGGATTTCTAGAGGCTTGTCGTCGTCCAGCTTCCGGGTGGGGCGGATGAAGGCAGGCGGTGTGAATCGACTGGTCTTGTCGAACTCTTCGGGCTCTACTCCACGCCCGTCTCGAAGCCGTTCCCAGGCTGCGCGGTGGACACTGCTCTCTTCCTGGGTCACTGGGGTGCCTGCATCTGGTTCTTTCTCCTCTTGCACCTCCTGGACAGAACCCTCTACAGTACCACGGCGAGACTGTGGTAGCTCAGCTGTACGTCGGATGGAAGGCCTGTCCCGCAGCCCATCCTTGAAGGCAGACACAGCCAGGCTCACTTTCTGCACCTGCTCCACAGTCTGCCGCTTGGACATCAACACCCCCATGGCTCTGTGGACAGGAAGCAAAAGGCACAGACTCAGCACAGAGGGCCATGGGTTCATCAGAGTGGGGAAGTGCTCTTCAGTCATCTTTTCCTCCTGTGGAACTCAGGGGCACAGTAGGAAGGAAGGAACATGCAGTAAGGAACTGGAAGAACTTGGTTCTACTTCCGACCGGCCTTGTGACTTTGATTTTCCCGTTTTGGGGTGGAGATTACCTCCTCAGCCCACCTCGTAGGATCATGGCTAACACAAGAAAGTGCACTGAATAGTGTGAAGCATTCTGCCTGTGTTAGTGATGCTTCTTCTCACTCCAAAGCCAATCTGGTTCAGGGATCGCAAGTCTCTGCCACTCTGAGGTAGTTGAAGATGTCAGAGCTTAAATTTTTCCTGTGCTCCACAAGAGGACTCACGGGTCATAGCAAGCCTGCAACCACACATTTCGGGCCTTCTGATGCAAGGAAAGTAACTGCAGTAAGCACTGTGCGCAATCCATCCTTGGGTCATCCTCATCAACCCCCGGAAGACACCTGCATCAGCTGGGAGACTCTGCCACCCTGTGAATATGGTCACGACCACAAATAACCTCCTGCCTCTCCTGGTAGGAGCCACAGCTCTGTGAATCTCGTCCCTCACAGGCCATTATATGCTCTACAATGCACTCTACTATTCTAAGACTTCACTACGTCACCCCCATTTTCAGCTATAATTTTCTGAACTGTTCCAGAAAGGTCCACATTCTTCTACAGGTTAAAGATGGACGTTTCCCTTGCCCTTCTCCTCAAAACCAACGTCCAACACTGGGAAGTGAGTGTATAACACGGCACATTCAAGCTCTTCTGCAGCCTCCTAGCCTGAGGACCCTTAAGGAAGTGGATTGGACAATTCCTGTTCTAAGGGCAGCAGAGTCCATGTTACACTCACTCCATTTGAATCAAGGTTCACCGAGCAGTGTTCTCCGCAAGCTGCTAAGTGCAGTGCTCATCATGGGAAACAGACAAAGGAAAGCAGGATCTCACCATGCAAACTTTTTAATATCAGAATTCAAAAAATTCAAATGAAACGCTGGGAGGGCGTAAAGGAGGACAAATCTACATTGCAGGCAGTGAGAGTGGACCGGGGGTATGGATAAAAGTTCTCAGTCTAAGGGGAAACGGTGACAGTGGGGAGGAAAAGAGACTGAGCCAGCTAGAAAGCTACCACAGCAGTCCAGGCAAGAGGCAGAGGGCTTAAGCACAACTCTCTTGTCTCAGCCTCCTCAGAAGCTGGGATTACATGTCCCCTCTATTCTTGGGACCTCTGAACATTCCTCCACCCTCTGTTCATCTGTTGAGCTTGATCCCAGTGTGACTTTCTTGGGGAAGTCACTGCTGACTCCAGTCCAGGAGGAAGTGCTCATGATATCATGCCCTTCTGTTCTGGAGCATCATTAAACATTTCATAGTATGATTATCTGATCAAAAGAAAAAAAGAAATTTCCTCTAACAGATTGTTTCTAGTACCTACCTCTAACAGACTGCTCTAGTGCCTAGCAAGGTATTGGAACAAAATAGATGCTCAGTAGACATTTTCAATTAATTAATTATGGAGAAATCTTGCCTTTTAACATAAAACCTTAATACACAGCACAACTGATGATAGCCACATATTTTTGCTAGAAACACTGTTAGTATGCGCTGCAGTGGTACAAATTTCTAGTCTACCATTATTGTTACCAGGGAAACTAACAGTCTTAAATTTCTACACTGATAAGAAGGAAAGACACACCTCCCCCATTTGTAGGTTTGTAAAACTGACCTATATGACCAAGCAATATTTACGTTGAATAAATAACTGTGTTACAGGGTGGTGGCAAAGATTTAGTGAGCAAATTTAGTAAATCATGCCTCAGTGGACAATTTATAATAAACTATCATTAAAAATATTTTCCTCCTCAATCAGAAATAAATGTTGGATAACAGGAATAAATAATAGTACCAGGAAGACTAAACAACATGAAAACACTGAGGCAGAAGTGCAATTACTGGTGAAGAAAGATATTCAAATGTGATGAAAAAGGCAAGTCACAAAAATACTGTTATGAACTAACTTTAATGATCTAATTTATTTATCTTTTTTTTTTTTGGTGCCAGGGATTGAACTCACGACTGTGTGCTTGCAAGGCAGGCGCTTATGCCACTGAGCTAAATCCCCAGGCCCAATTTTTTTTTTTTATCTTTTTGTTATTCTTTTCTTTTTCTTTTTTTTTTTTTTTTTGTCTTTTTGAGACAGGGTTTCAATATGTAGTTCAGGCTGCCCTCGAACTCATTTTGTAGCCCAGGCTAGCTTTGCCCTTATAGTGACTCTCCTGCTTCAGCCTCCCAAGTGCTGGGATTACAGGAGTGTGCCACCACACTCAGCGTGTATTTTTTTATTTTCTAATTTTCCTACAATGCAAATTAATTACATTAAAAAATCCTAGAGTTGCCAACCAAGTGATTTGTTGCTTTAAGATATGCTGACCTATGACCCAGAACATGTTGCTTTTTGCTTTAGGGTAGGGGCACACTTATAATACCAGCCCTCAGAAGGAGGATCGCTGTGAGTTCAAGGCCAGCCTGGAATGCATATTGAAATCCTGTCTCAAAAGAAAAAAAGAAAAGAAAAGAAAAGAAAAGAAAGAAAGACCACCTTTGTGGGGATGTGGTTTGGTGGCTGAGTGCTTGCCTAGATTACTGCATGTAAACACCTAGGTTCGGTCCCTATGACTGGGGGAGAAAAGATGGCATCTATAAAGACAAAGTTACAGGAAAGCTCTGCCCTGAACAGTTTCATGCAAGACAAACAGCTCACTCAGGCATAGCCGAGGTCTCTGTCACTGGAGGCTTACAAAGGTGAACACACCTTTCACTAAAGAATACCTGCTCTGTGATGTGAGAAAGACTTGAGCTCTACTGCTGGCTTCCAAGGGAGAGGAAGGGGATCTGAGGCGCAGGTGGACTCTGTCATCAGAGAGGCCAGGAGAACAGACTGGCCTCTAAAAAGGAGTGCAGCTCTGCACACGCTTTGAGTTAATCCCGGTGAGGCTGGACTGGACTACTGCTCTCCAGAACTGTAAGATAATGGGAGCAAGGGAGGAGAAAGGCAGGAAAGAAAGGCAAACCTGCTCTACAGAAGCGTCTGCGTTTCTTTGGCCTAAACCTACAGACTACTCATTGCTCTCTTTGTGGCTGGTGATCATCCTGCCCTGACTCTTTCAGCGCTGGGATTCCAGGCATGTGCCACCATGCCACCCTTATTCCATCACTTTTTAACAACGATAAAAAGATGAAAACATTCTCAGTGGGGAAACTACTTCATAATTTATGATATATTCAAGCCATGAAAAAGAAAAAAATTAATTTTTAAAACATGATGACCAGAGGAATGATTTTCGAGTGGTCATCTGGCTAGACCCCAGGGCAGATGTGTACGAGGGGTCTGTAACAGAAACTCCACAAGGAACACAACGTGAGTGTGTCAAACATTTCATTGAGAATATGTTTATACGTGGAAAACAAACATCAAAAGCCAACGTTTTTAGTATAACGGCAGAGCTTGACAGTACCATCTTGTATTCTGGGGACACAAAGAAGGTATTAGTTCTCCAAATAGGTAAGGCAGCCTCCTCTCTGAAGTATCAGAAGTTTTAGAAAACAGTCATAAGACCTTTATGCTTATCAGAAAGAAGGCATAAACTGAAAAAAGTTCAGAAAAGAGTTACATGGAGATCTGGAATAAGTTTAATAAATTCACTTTTCTCTTTTTTGATTTTGAGACAAGGTCTCTCTGTGTACTTCAGACTGGTCTTGAACTCACTTTGTAACCCAGGCTGGTCTCAAACATTGACAATCTTCCTGCCTCAGCCTCCTGAGTGCTGGCATTACAGACATGTGCCACCACACCTGGCCTAAATTCACTTTTTCAAGATTGATTCAAGAATGGAGGAAAAGCAATAATATGCATTTAGTTCTTATCCCTTTTTCAGATGATGTAATGACAGTTACTAAACAAAGGCCATCAAATCAGGATGCTTATTCTCCAAGAGAACGGATCCAATAGCATACCAAGAGACTAACCACACAGACACCCTCTGACACATTGTGGTCCTGTCCAACCCATTATTTACCATGAGGATACCATTATTCTCTCCAAGGGTACCAGGAACTACCATTAAGCTAGCTCAGTTGTTAGTGATGTCATCACAATGACTGGGGAAGTTGATCCCTTAAGGAATTTCTGTGAAGACTAGAGTTGACACCCAATAGAACTCACAACCTCATGCTTGCCAGGCAGGTGCTTATGCCGCTGAGCTAAATCCCCAACTCACTTTCTAATTCTGACCACAGACTCTTTCAGCACTCCTATTCCTTTAAGTTGAGATGGTTCAATTTTCTAGACCACTTTATGCTGTAAGAACAGAAAATGTGGAGCCATTAAAAAGAAATCATCAAAATCCAACAAGGGCCTGAGTCTTTTTAATTGTTTTTGTCTTGTCATTTTGAACTGATAAGGTTTTGATTCCATCTACAAACTGTGAGGACACAAAACAGAATTAAATCTTAAAAGTGAGCACAAATCCCTTAATGCTTGAAGGAGGGGACTGAACCTGTACACGAAGACACAGTGATGGAGAGTGAGTGTGCTGAAACAGCCACGATGCCTATCCGGGTCATCTGAAAAATTAACACAATGGGCTCTAATTTCTAGAGCTCAAGTAAACCTGATTAGCTATGAGTAAACATAATGCCTGCTGAGAAACCCTGGCCTTTCCTCTGCTGAAAGAAGTCCAGAAGAAGAGCAAATTAAAAGGAAATCAAGCTGCAAAGACTCCACAAATCATTCCTAATGACTATTTCCTTGACTGGTGTGTAGAGCTGGGGTTTTGTGCACTGTAACAAGAATGAAAAGGGGACAAAAAAGATGCTGTCCCTAGACAGGTGTGGTGGCGCATTCCTGTAATCCCAGCACTTGGGAGGCTGAGACAAGAGG